CGATCTACATCTCGATAAAGCGACTTATGCTTACTAACAGTAAATTATCGCTGAGAATGTCTCGACGATATCAGGTTACAACTTGGAGATAAACATTGACCGTGTGATACAAAGCCGGAAGCAGTAATTTCCATGGATCCTTATGAATTTTGATTTTTCTTTAGCTATTGCAACTTAAAATTACATGTTTGATTGATGTCAAATCACATGTTTGATTCATGCGAGTGCGAGGAGAGTGAGGCTCGAGCGCTGGCCGCTGCCCTGAGGAAGCTGTCACGCGCGGCGCGAACACGTGATGAATATGTATCGGCAGGCTGTACCGGCGCCTTGTAATTTGAGACTCGCCGGTAATTATTTACGTGAGAATGGGCCCGAGCAAGTGCCCCCTTCGTCCCCCACCTCACCCCTTCTCACCGGAACGAATCGTTGATTGCGCGCGAGTTGAGATGCCGCCGCCAGATTGCTGCTCACGCTCCGGTGGTCAGCGCTGCGCCCGCGCAGACGCGACGACTGCTCGGTCCAACAGAGCCACTCTCGTCGTAAGTAGCTAACTATATCAACCTGATACGCAAATCAAAATGCAAGCTGTAACAAGCAAAACCAGCTTGATTGCAAAAACCATGAAATTGATAGAACTGGCCACATGTTCCTTTTTAAATATCCACCTAACTACTTAATTAAGATTTCTTATCTGTAAATAATAATTAATCAAAAATTCAAAACAAATTTTGAGTAACAAAAAACTATTTCTAGAAAAGAAACTAATACCAGTAGACATTTGTATACCATATTTACAAAATATAACTTGAAAACTTTAATAAATCCTGTCTCCAAAACAACCACAATGAATTAATGTTATACTGACACGTTCCCCCAACATCTTATTAATAAAAGAAAAAACTTGTTAGTGTATCAAAAATGTCTCATTTAAAACAGATAAATCACATCACATTAGCACGGCAATTTAGCACGAGACGACAATATAAGCGGAACACCGATCTCATAAGTCTCACAACGGCCATCTTGTCTTTTTTCCACGAAACCTCGCGTTGGAGTGACGACGGTTGTTTTGACTTGTCCTGACATTTGCGTGTTCCAGTGCAAACTCTCAGAATAATGGACCACTCACCGACCAAAATATAAACTAAATTTATTTGCAAAACGACTACCTGTGTTGATCTCGTTTATGTCAAGGAAAAGTAATGCCGTCGATGTATTAAATTTCAACAGCGTGAGTTTTAAAAATAACATAAAACCATTTTTGATATTACCTATATCATTATCATACAACTCTCTCTCTTTGGTTAGAAGACGTATCGCCAGTCAGATTCACTGGGGTTTGGCTAGAGGCACCAGATATGTGGTAAGAGACGATGCTACGGTGAAGCACTCAAACAATCCAATAGCCTCAACTGAAACTTTGACCAATTTCGGCGACAAGGACCTAATCTATGGTTTCAAAATAATAAAAACCCTACTTTTGTTAAACTGTCAACTATTTCTACTTCAGAATCTCAGTTTTTGCTACTTACTTTGCTAAGTCTACCAAAATAATTAATCTAATATTCTACATATCTACAATTAAAATAGGTAAAATGGTGTACCTATCATTAATGTAATTTCACAAAATAAGTACATCCAGTGCCACGTTATGTTTTGATCAGAAACTACGTAGAATGTGAATACAGTCATGCAACATGAGTTGACAGGTGTGCGACTGTCTAGTACTACCATTGATGTAAATCCATGGACTATGAATAAAATAATTGATTTATTTCAAAAATGCTATTCATAAAAGCTTAAAATTAATAAAATGACAAGGGCTTAGAACCACTGTGTTTGTTTTAACAACAAAATGTTAAATTGACTGCTTTCAATAAGTGGGCACGTCGCGCTGGCGGGGCGCGCGGCTCGATGGCGCCCCGTGGAGTACCCCTAAACACACACAGACCGCGGGGCGCCGCACCCTGCTCACTAATAACATACTCTTTCCCTCTGTCATGCCTTATTTCATCCAGCCATCTCTTGTTTTTTCCATATTGTCGTTTTTTCGAGCTGTGAGCCCACTTGGAACATTAACAATAAAACGAGTTCCTGATGATAGTAATCCTTCATCCTCATTGTCTTTTGGCAGTTTCGAGGAATAATATATGTTGTACTCTCGCGACTTGATATCTGAACGTCATATTATAAATGGCGTCGTTTAAAATATTTTAATACCCTCTACATCACGGCGATATTAATTTAGTACGCTTGAGTTGAGCGGTCGCGGTGCCACCGATGGAATGTTAAATGACGGATTACCGACCGCCGAGATTGAAAGATAACCAACCACTCGAAATGTTGGAGATTCTAATATCATTGCCACATCTCGTAACCTTTCTCTTACAGAATAACACTATTCCTCCAAAAATAAATGATTTGTTATATTATGTATCACCAATCGTCAAGAACCCATTTTAAAAACACTACCCTAAAATAATACACTCATAATTTGAAACTTTTTATTTTCATTACTTTGATATTTAAATATTTGAAAAATGTTAGAAGTCAAAAATTTTTTTTTCCTAAACGTTTAAATCTTTTTTTACAAATAATAAGCTTAAATAAAATAAATACTAACTATTACTATATATATATACAACTTAAGATACAAAAAGATAAAAATTAAATAAAAGAAAACAAAAAATAACTATTTACACAAAGCATAAAAAAATTCGTCCCCATCGACAATGTAGAGGTATAGTTACTTCCCCGTCTTTGATGTATGCGTTACTTAGCAACAGTATTATACGTGCGGTAATATTCGATCATTATAATTTTACAAAGTACTCGACACATGGTACGCACAAAGGCTGAACATCATAATTGCCTGCTTACTCCATTAGAAGAGATCGCATTGCATCAAGAAAACATTGAAAAAATAGAATACTTTCAAGACTAGTGCCCGAAACTGAAAATATTATTAATGCAAAGTAATCTCATCGCTAAAATTGAAAACCTTAACAAATTGAAAAATCTTGTCTACCTAAACTTGGCGCTGAACAATATAGAAGTCATTGAAAACTTAGAAAGGTGTGAATCTTTAGAGAAATTAGATCGCACACTTAATTTTATAGGCGAAATTATAAGCGTAGAGAGTCTAACGGATTAATTCATACTTTATAGGAAATCCTTGCACTGATTACGAAAATTATCGAGATTTTGTAATTGGTACTTTCCCCCAACCACAGAACAAATAACTTTATATGTTCTGTGGCCCCAACTCAACCTCCTTGATGGCTGCGAGATTGATAGATCCGACCCCGAATCTAGGCTTTGCAAAATTTTCCAATTATAAGGTCAGATATACTCTTTGAACAAGAAACCTACAGACATCAAAGAAGAAAGCAAAAGTCTCGCCTGGAACAAGACATTCAAAACAAGTCGGAAAATATTAATACAACGATATGGATCCAGACAAACGAAACGAGAAGTTTTGGGCAGAAAAATGTGAGCATGCTCCCGAAGTGCGTTATGAAATAGAAAAAATGCGCCAGCTAAAACGGAAAAGTTATGAACCAGAGAAAAAACAAGAAGATAAACGTGTATACAAGTTTTTCGTTCCAGATGGAAGACCATACAACATTAAACAAGCAAAAATAGACTTTGTCTTTACTGATGATGATCCTGAAAAGTATGTTTTGGACTTAGCAGTGTATAAACACATGGACACAAATCTTGTGGATGTTGATGTCCAACCCAACTATGTTAGAGTTATGTTAAAGAATAAAATATTTCAACTCCATCTACCGGTAGAAGTCGACAAAACTAACTCTACAGCGCACAGATCACAGAGTACAGGTCACTTGCTTGTAACAATGCCGAAATGTAACGCTATTGTTAAGAAACCAGCTAATCTGAAAAACGAAGATGCTAATAAAACGCAGTTGTATTGTGACCACAAACCAAAAGACTGTAATGATCAACTTAGACAAACAAAACGGGAATATCTAAAAATTGGTCCTGCAGAAAATGTTTTATATCTTATGAAACTTATTCAACCTAAAGCAAAACCTGATTACATCGATCCAAGACATAGAGTCGGTGAAAAGCAGCCATCAGCAGTTTTTGTTGACAATCCATACATACCTGGGTGCTTACTCTTGAAACCAATCTCAATAATTATTCAATATCAAAACTCTACAACCCCTATCGAAGCTGTTAAAATAACATTTAGAGTACGACATATAAAGCCAAACTCAATACCATTTAATTCATGAAATATCCACGCAATACGGATGCAATGAGCGCTAGTGTTGCAACTCAAGAGTACGAAATCTCACAATACCAATGTCGATCGATGTAGGGGTTGGATTCAAGAGTAAACCCCCTGATTTGATTTAAGTTATGCCTACTGATTTGCAAACGTTGCGATAATATCGACTAAATGAAAAACTCTTGTTTGGGTTGATTTATTTATTTATTTTAATTAAGTGATAAAAAAATATTACAGCACCAATTAGGGAAGTCAACAGTTTCATTAAACTTACATGAATTTAGGTTGTATTGTAATAAGAAACACTTAAAACGGGCATTTAAATACCCCTATTATGACATAGATTAGTTGTACTGGTATAAAAAATATGATAAGATTTTACCTTAACTACATTGATGTATATTTGACATCTTAAACTTATTAAAAATTAACTTTATTAATAACTAGAACATTATTGAGACAGTTTAAGAATATTAAAAATTGGAAAGACAAAGAAAATTATAGAAGAATTAAACATTAACACAAATTCGTAATAAAAATAGATGTTTACTGTAGTACTGATACAATAAATACCTACTTTTTGAAAAATAATCCATCATAAAGTTCAGGATGACAGACTTAAATAAAAACAAATTTCAAAGACGTAAAATTCAATATAGGACTTGACATATAAGGAACTGGTTTACAATTAATATTGTTATCATCTTTTCCTAATTCTAACAAAAACTTGATGACTCTCAATTTATTCACGCGCCAGGCCGTTTGTAGCAGCGGCAGGCATTGCTACCAAGGACAAAAATCCATCAATGTCCTTCATTTCCATCGATGTAAACTTGGCAGAAATCCGGTCGTGATCTGCCCACGGTGGCATCAACTTGAACTGAGCAGTTGCAAACGATCCTGGCGCCACATTCTGGGAAAATATTAAATTACAAACGTTAGTAAGCTCCCCGTAAATCCAAATGAACCTTGCGGCACACCTGCAGCGCCATTGAAACTCATAGTAGTTTGATAATAGTAGGGTAGATGGCGCTAGTAGTATAAAGACCGAACCTTGCAGCCTTGCGATTGCGACACACCCGACAGCGCCATTAAAACTTATGATAGTTTCCGAACAGTAGATAGATGGCGCTAGTAGTATCACTTTAAGAAATGCTTTAATTGATTGACCTTGATTTATTTGTTTTTTTTTTCATTTTTATTGTAATTTTATCAAATTCGCCTACAATTAAAAATAAAATCCCCTTATCCTTACCTCTTTTAGCTCAATTTCAAGTTGTTCATCCAGGCCGGGCCCTTGGATGTAGAACTTGCCCTTAGTAAGTGGGATAGGCAGTGAGTTCTCCACTTTAACATTAACAATGACCTCTTGATGCGACACTGGTTCTCCATCAATACTGATTTTGATATCAGGGTTACGAACTTTGAAGTCATGTTGTGCTAAGTAGTCGAATTTTGTGTCCACGATTGTAGCTTGGCAAGCAATCTTGAAGGAAGCCTGGAAGGTAAACAAATGAGGAGTTCCTACATTATAATTGTTTATAAAAAAAAAAACAAAGTAGGTATACAACGTATAAAATATGAAATTATCTTATAATTCCCACAATAAAGTTTTATTCTTATGAAATAACTAACTGTTACTCGCGACTTCGTCCGTGCAAAATAATATCATCTGGCAGATACTGGGCTTTTGAATTAGTCTTTCCCAAGGTAAATATTTTATTTTTTTGTCATCAGAATTGATTCAGTACCTAGGTTATAGGTATTCATAGTGAAATTTATTTATATGTATTCAACCTCTTTGAATACCTCAACGCCATGATAGCAAAAAAAAATTGTCAATGACCCATTGGCGTAAAACCATAGATATGTGCGTAAAACTCAAAACTCACTTGTTAAAATAACATGTCAGATAACATAGAAATGTATATTTATTATCTGTATGTATGTAGGTGTCTGTTTATTTTGTTACAAATTGATGTGATTTTTTTTGTTGAGTGGAGGTAGTTGAAAGGATCGAAAGTAGCGTAGGCTACATTTTGTTTCTTTCTAATGCACCACTTCCCTAAAACAGGGGGTGGAAGTTGGTATGGACCATTTCGTAATTTTCAAGAAACCTACAATTGGTATCATATTTATGACCAGCAAAACATTGGGAACCAATATTATTTAACTTTTGTAAACCTGCCCCAATACTTTAATAGAGCGTGAGCGAAACCATGGGCAGAAGCTAGTACCTACATGAATTAAAATGTATTACGTTAATTGAATTCTTATTTTTTCTATAAATTCCCTGACTCTGATGCAGCCAAATACTATTATTAGTCCTTGAAAATAGTTGCCTATTGGCAGTCAAAGGGTTAAGCAATACCTATAAGGAATTTTTTGGTAGTATTTTCACACATCGGTTTACAGTACTGAAATTTTCACACGGTACCCTTTTTTATTTCTTATTAAATATAGCCTATGTTCATCATTGATAATGTAGGATTCCAATGGTAAAAGAACTTTTGAAATCAGTCTGAGAGTTTCGGAGAACATGCCATTCAAACAAACAAAAAATCTAATCTTTCCTCTTTATACTATTAGTGTAGATAAATAATATTTACAAAAAATATAATAACCTATGATAAAATTTATATTTATGCATTTACAAATTCTGATTTTCTCTCAAAAAATCTGTTAACAAATATCTGTAAATCAGTTACCTGATCACCCAGCTTCTTGTAATAATCATCGAAAGTGACCAGCATCTTGATGACTTCTTTGCCTTTGGGTTTAAGGTTAATATCAAACTCTAACCTCTTCACTTCATCGCCTGTATTTCCTGTACGCGTCGCTGTGTCTACACGAAGGTTACCCTGCACCTGGTGTGATTGATTTGTACGATTTTTGACGTGTAAGATCTGTAATTAAGAATAAAAAAATTAATACAATACAATGCCACAACATTAGTTGGAAAAATACTTTTGTTATTTTCTCTTTCAAAGGCTAAATGTCATGTGTGGTATAGCAATTACAGCTGAAAGTGAAAAACAGTCTGCCCGTTTTCAAAGTCACTCTCTAAGTACTCTCACTACTCTACCAAATTCTCATTCTTTTTCGTAGCTTCATTCAATAATCTAAATAAGTGTCCTATGAGTCCTACACGAATCCAGTAGGTCTTTTTTTAGGGGGGGAAAGTCATCGAGTGATTTCTCCCGCCTAGGGTGAGGCTGGAGGAAGTGTTCAGTCTCTTACTGACTAAAAACCAACCCGTTCCTACTCCTGCACTTCGAGCCGGAGTCCCGGTAACCCGTTAGGTTCTCCGCGACATTCAGTACGTCTAGAAATGCGTTTATGTGGTGGTAGAACCTAGGTGCTTTACTTACGCAGTAATTCGAAACTTACCACATTGAAGTCCTGTCCAATCTTAATGTCGTCCTGAAGATCGAAGTCGAAGGTGACGTCATTGAACAACGCGTTGAGGTAGTCCTTCGCGTATTTGCTCTCAGACTTACGCAGAGCCTTCTCCATTGTCATACGTTCTTCGCGAGATCCTTCTGGATATTTATACGTGTTTGTGAGGTACTGGAATGTTATAAGACATTTTTATATTTTTTCATTTCTTCTGCACAAATGATAACAGTGAATGGCGGAAGGCATTCTCTGACAGTCAACCAGGAAGGAAGGAAGGAAGTGCAGAGAAATAAAGCAGTGGATGCGAAGCAAGAATACGATTAAAATGTTAAGTAATATGTGTACTGCATACATAAAAAACCTATACAATAAATTTATATATTAACTATATATTATAAATCTAAATAGACATGGATACATACTATACAGGTGTCCCTGAAGTCGACGATGAAATTGATTGGCAAGGATATAACAGTTAACATATTTTTAGAGCTACAGCCTGTGGCACAGGAATATTCCCAGTATATGCATATTATTTTTAAGAACTTGTCGCTTAATTAAAATATTTTTGTACCTGTATTGACTAGTGTTATTATGAATAAAAATTTATTTGTTATTTTATCAGCAAAATATAAAAAAAATTCAAGTCATATACTTTTCAAAATACAATGACTTTCATGTGTAATGCAAGAAAAAGTGTCTTTTGGCTCTTGTTCCTACTATTCTTAATTTTTTCGTGTGAACTTTTGCCTACGGTTATTCTGACCGGTGCTTTAATAGTATTGAATCATAAATTCTGAGCCAACTGATTATTTGAATTATTTGAAAATAATTTGAAAATAATGTAGTTTTTTGACGAACCAAGTGTTCTTAATAAATTATTCAACGTACAGGTACATTTCACCAAAGTTTGTGCATTTAATAAGGATTCTACAATGGTATGTCACTCTTAATTAGGCACAAAAAATAATTTTCAACGAACCTCTATTTCGAACAATTTATTTGGACTTACAAAATTTTACTCTAGTGTACCCAAAGCGCACCTAAAAACCTCCTATCCACTAGGTAACACATAGCAGGTGACATGATATTATCGTGTTGCTAAACATGTTGAAATCAGTAAATGAGGAGTACTTTCCCGATCACCTGGTGCCATTTGATCGCCGACTTCAGGGGCACCTGTATAATACCTCTATATACTGCTAAACGAATACTCATACGTACTACGTAAATATTACGATACATTATACAAACAAAACTTTGTCAAAATAGCTTCCTCAACTATTTTGAGTCTACCAATACCGCGGTCTTTAAAGGTCATTGTCATTTAAAGGAACTGCGATTTGTTGCTATTTTGATCTCCTTGGGCAGCGCATTCCACAAAAGAACAGCTTGAATGAAAAAAGAAAAATAAAAGAAGTCAATGCGACGAGAGATACATTGAGGGTGTCGATTTTGAGATGAACGAAGAAATTTTGGGTGGTTTGCGCAAGTATATTCAAGGTTTGCGGAAGTCAGGAGCAAGATAGATACAGAAGGCGAGTCAAGATAAGAGAACAAAGTGATTAGTGCCCTCTGCTGCCTGCGCAAGCATATGGGCAGCCATTTTGATTGCATCCAATGTGCAGAAACATGATCATATATACGTAAGTTGAAAATTAATCGAATGCAAATATTTAGAAGTCGGTCTAATTTGTTAAGTAGATCTGCATTCATGTCGTAGTAACATACATCAGCGCAATCAATGATGGGTAAAATCAAGGTCTGCACAAGCTGCATCTTCACAGAGGATGGAAAAAAGTTCCTCAAGCGACACAGTGCCCGCAATGATCGAGTCACCCTCTGGCAAACACTTGTGACCTGAGCACGCCAGCTTAGTGTGTTATCAATAATCAGACCCAAGTCCATCACGTCCTTTCACTGCGAGGACCGCCCGCAGGCGGCATGCGCTAGCGGTGTGCCCAGCGTGGGCTGAGCACCGCCATGTCCTCAGGGATATGGTCGGCGACGGCGACCCCTCGCGTCTGGCACTGGTTCAGGCCATGGTGCGAAGCGAATGGGACTGGGATGCCGTCTCCTTCTTCGGCGAAGCAGTCATGCTAGAAGCGGGGCGCGTGAGGGAACGAACTTCCCCACGCCCCGGCAGTCGCGAGAGACACCCTAGGCATCGGAGAGCACGCGACGATCTCCGGCCGTAAGTGCAGGCGGTGAGCAAGGGTAGCTTGCCGCCCGACCAGAATCAGACCCGTGCGTACGGCGCGTCGCGTTCCGCGTGAGCCTTAAAGAGCCATCACACCACAACAGATGGGGCTCAATAGGGTTGATGCCTGATACGAAGCCGTGGAAGGCCTAACATGTTGCCAAGGCCCCAGCTCGAAGAGCAGGAGTAGGAATGAAGTGGTTTTTAATCAGTAAGAGTCTGACACTCCCTCTCGCCTAACCCAAGGCGGGAGAAGCCATTGGACGATTTTCCTCCTCAAAAAAAGGTCCTTCACGTCCTCGCTGAATAGATATAGAGTCACAAACTTAATGGAAAGGATGATCTTCTGAATCTCCGTCGCATCTACCAGAATGAAACAGAAATTGTTTATGTTGGGACGCGTCAGACCACTGACAAATGACAAGTTTGGTAAGATGATCTAGAGTTGTAACAGTGGAGAAATGTTGATTAAAGGCATCTAAACCAATTGCGATAGACAGGTTGGGCGGCGTACCAATTGAATCGATTTCGAATTTGCGATTTTCCATTGAATCGAACTTTTAACAAACATACCTCGCATTTCATCTCTCCGACAGCTTTCGTTACAATCTTTTGTCCATACCATGTGGTGTTTATTTCCAATAACTTTAGTGGCTGGTTCTTTCCACAGAATTTCCATTTTAACTGAAATTAGAAAATTCCACCTCTAAGTCAAATTTATAAATCTTTTCTGTGGGCAAAAAAATTCACCTCCATATAATTTACATAACTTTTAACCCCCATACTTTTACAACGTTCTGCCTAGGACTATGTCATACAGTAGTATGACAGTAGTGCTTTCACATAATGTAAGTATCATTTGATTAATGGGACAAGTTCTTCTCTTCCTCATTCTTTCAAAATCGCTGCAACTCCTTTAAACCAGGATCTACAGTAGATACATCATGAATTACTCTTGAAATAAATCAGAAAAGAGGAGAAGAAAAAAGCAATAGTTCCCACTGGCCTCGGTGAATTACTGTAGGAGACAGAATGAATTACTGGTGACGATCAAAGCGGTCACCGGTGACCCCTCTCCCCTGACACCATTATAGACCTTATTTCCGATGTTTAGAGACTACTTTTGTATGAACAAATTTTCATAATCGGACATTTACGAGGTAAGCCTAAAAGGCACAAAAGGAGACTGTACAACGGGGTAGACGACTAATTTTTATTTTAATGTCCGTCTGATAGATTATTTAAAAACATTAGACACGTATTTTTTATTTTCTCACAGAAACGAATAGTTTCGAAGATATATTGATTTGAAATGTCGCGTGACGTCACTTCTCAGTACATTTTATACTAAGGAATGACGTTTTAGCCCCCACTCCTAAACTTTGATTCGTTTTATCTAAGTATTGTTTTATTATACGACAAAATAAAAAAATACGTGTCTAATATTTTTTCATTACCTAACTGACGGACTAATTATATTTTTAATTTTCATACCCTGTCATCATCCCCACTAGGAGAAGCCCAGTCGCCGAGTACCACGGAAATTTTACTAAAAACTAAGTGGGTCCTGTGTGTGAGTTGTTATACTTGCTTCCAATAATAGGTATGGCAAAAAAGTCTAAACGCAGAGTTCCACATTCCACAAGATCCGCATGAAATGAATGCATCTGACGGAACAATTAAACTATCTAACGTAGTCTTACATTCATATTGCCAGAGACCACACTCCTAGAGTATGTGATGGGCGGACTGCTCGTAGAATACAATAGAATAAACTTTATTGTACACAATTAATAATATAGTTTATACAGAAAAGGAATTGACAAACATAAATAAAATCTAATAATGGGCACAATGGCGGTCTTATCACTTATAAAGATTTCTACCGTGGTCATAATTGCGCATGCAAAATATGAACCTGATGCTGAAATTTTGGGGTCTTTCTAGTATATCTAACTGCACCTCAGTAAGATCTAGATAGCTGGCATCGGTGTAGTCAAGGAGAGAGGCAGAAGTGATCGAGCGAGCGCAACTTTGGTAGCAGTTGGCAGAAAGTTTCTGAACCTGCGTAAAGATCCTGCTGACGCAAATATTTTGCGGCTGACTTCTCGCAGCTGTGGCCCCCAAGAAAAGTCTTTGTCTATCAGGATCCCCAGATCCTTCACAGTGTCATTGTAAGGTATTCTGGTACCATTAAAGACGATCGGTGAAATCTGTGACCAGACAATCTTTGAACGCAATCGCGGGGTACCGACAACAATGACTTGCGTCTTTGCAGGATTGATGTTAAGCCCGTGAACCTTACTCCAGTTGGAAATCCATACTAAATCAACCGTGAAGTACGTCTCACGAAAGTTTTAATATAAACATATTCATTGTTCATTGGTTTGTTTATAATTCGTTCCTTTTTGTAATAAATCTTATGCGTATCGCAAGCAGCACAAGTCGTTTTATTTAATTAGTAAATACAACAGCGATAAAAAAATACCACTGCACCGTGCGCACGTGCGGAGGGAAGTGAGTGTAAGTACCTTGTCAGCATTGACTGTTGCGAACATGAAAGCAGTATCATAAGGTTTATGTATCTCTCCATCGCGAACTGCTCTTACTGATGATGGACCGCAACGGAACATGCCTTCAGATTTTTCTTGTGGTGTCGAGTCTAGTGCCTGCCAGCCACCATAATCGGGTCCCAAGTCTGGACGCTCCATCCACACCTACAAAACAAGGATATTCTTTATTTCTTGGCTAAATTCACGTTGCCAGAGATATTACGTAAAGTAAAAGGCCAGCGGTAAAAACTATAAAATTAATAAAGACTAGCTGTTGCCTGCGACTTCGTCCGCGTAGAATTATGACTTGTGGCAGTATTTGGGTTTATAAATTAGTCTTCCAAAAAGTATAATCGATTCAGGAACCAAGTTATATTTATTGTGAAAGAAAAATAATATCCGGTTTCAAAAAATGCATACTGTATTTAGTAATTAAATAATTTATTTTGATAAGGATTAAAATAAATAAATAAACAGTAAAATAAACCCGTTTAAATTTAGTCCAAAATTACTGATTATACTAGATTTTTAAATAAAAAAAATTATTGTTGTGCCTCACTCGACATAGATAGGTAAGATTTTATATTTTAGGCAGCGTACGCAAAATAAATAAAGTTTCTGGTTGATTTTTTACACCTTGTGTCCGAAAATCCCAAATATCGTAAGGAATCCTATTTTTTTTCAAAATAAAATACAGCCTGTGTTACTCGGGAATGATGTAGCTTCAGAACGGTGAAAGAATTTTTAAAATCGGTCCAGTAGTTTTTGAGCCAATACATTACAACCAAACCAACAAGGCTCTCCTCTTTATAATATTAATGTAGATAAGAAGCAGGTATATCATCTGCTAAGGCAGTCTGGGTTAGCTATTTATATCATTTACTAAATAATTCATCAATCGATTAGTTTTGCGGAGGACGCAAACGCGTACTTATGTAGGTACTATTTAAGGACGCAATATGTTTGAACAAACCGTAAGAATCGGTTTTATAAATCGAATATAAAACGAGTTAAAATAAGGCTTATGTTTAACTTACCACCAGATATAGTAACAAATAGCAGACAAAAATAGTAAATGATCACCAAAATGAAACTCGCATTTTAACGTAAAATTATAACCGAAGTTTTAACACTTTGCTATCCTATTTAAGTAAATTGACTCCAAGTAAATCATGAGTAACCCCAAAATAGTAAATGATCACCAAAATTAAACCAACATTTTAAAAACCTAACCTGTCGCGGAGAACCTAACGGGTAACCGGGGCTCTGGCTCGACGTGCAGGAGAAGGAACGGGGTGGTTTTTAGTCAGTAAGAGTCTGACACGCCCTTCCGCCTCACCCAGGCGGGAGAAGTAATTCGATGATTTTCCCCCCTTAAAAAAAACCTAACCTAACCTAACCTCACCCAGGCGGGAGCAGTCATTCGATGATTTTCTCCCCTTAAAAAAAAACCTAACCTAAACTATCAAGATTTGGTGATCATTTACTAAATTTGGTGGTCGAATACAATTTAAAGTTGAGTCGTGACTAAAATAGGCTGGTACTATTGTATGTTTTTACTTTATTTTTCTGGTGTTAAGTAGATATTTTTGGTTACAAAACTAAGGGTGTCAAAGCGTTTTATGGTGGTCATTATATTTATCCCCTTAAAATAAGACAAGTAGCATTGCATTTGACATGTAAAGTATTGTGGAGGGCAGACAGCAGTCGGTCCGCGTAACACGCTAGCTAACACACTTACTTAGCAGAGACATAAAGGTAAAAGAAAAATAGAATTTCATATAACAAGTAGCATAGTGTTCCTACCTCATTCCAAACGTGAAAGTTCCAACTACTATCTTTTTTCAAGTCGTTGGGTCCATTTCCTTGCTCATCTATAATGGTATCTAAGGTAAGGCTTCCATCAGTGTCATGAACAACTTCGATACCCGTGACAGGTCGACAAGGAATACCTAGGGCTCGGCAAACTGTAACAAACATTTAAATTAGAATCCTGTTCGATATAGCCCTTTTAATTTTTTTGTAATAATGCACATTTACAAATATCGTTACATAAATAAATAAAAAAGCCTTTTATTTCTTACTTACAAATTTACGACTTATTCGTCAACCTGCTGGCGGGCGTCCGCCATTTGGCACCTTTCTATTTTACCTAATTTTATATCGTCAAGTCGCTAAAAAGGTAAAATGGCTATTTTTGCACGGTTGGCAACAAACATTTCGCTTAAAATGTAATAAAGGTACGCTTTTATTTTTATTTTTAAACTTTGCCCCACATAATGCGAGGACAAAGAGATAGAAAATATTTAATACTAGCGTACCAAGTCGCGGGCAGAACCCGCGACTTGGTACGCGCAATCCCGTTTTCTCCAGTTCCCGCAGGATTATCAGGTTTTTTCTGTCTTAAGAACCTTCTTCTAATAGTAACGAATACAACAAAAAAATAATTAATGAAATCCATGCAGCCATTCACCTGTAATGCCGTGACCAAGGGTAAAAGGGATTCATTTTTATATTATTCCTAGCGGACCCAACAGACGTTGTCCTGCATATCTACTTGAATGTATAAACAAAAATTCATTCAAATTAGTTCAGCTGTTTAGGATAAATAACCTAAATATGGACTGCAGCGCCATCTGCTGGGCTAATTTGTGAATCTAAACCATTCCCAGATCCTCTTGAACACACAAAAAATTTCATCAAAATCGGTCCAGTCGTTTGAGAGAAGTTCAGTGACATACACTCACAGAAGAATTATATATATAAAGATTTCCGTATATTTATTTAAAATTCTCTAAAAATACATTTTTAAATACTACTTACAAGAAAAAAAAATATTTAATAAAAATAGGAGCCGACCAGTAGTAGGAGCATGGTCCAAGCTACCGGAGGTTAGGGCTCCAGAGACAGCAACCTCCTCACGATGCGCGCCGTTTCAAGGAGAACTGCCTTCTATATTAAACCCTTGACCCAACTGCCTAACGCCAGCCTCCTAAGGTGGTTGTCGAGGCTATTAGGGGTTAACCCATTGGCCGACACGACTATCGGCACAATGATAGCCGAATCCACATTCCACATGTCGACAACCTCGTGAGCCAAATCAAAATATTTGATTTGTTTATCGTTTTCAGCTTTCACGAGGAATATATCGATTATCATCGCGCGACGCACTTGTAGGTGTATCACCACTACAATTATCAGCTTTATTGGCAACAATACTCCTGTCAGTGGTGAAAGACCGGTCCCAGTACAATGTGATGTAGTCATTTTCCAGACAGTTGGCATATACTTGTAGTATAGTACCTCACACTCAACAAGTCGATAGTGCAAAGCAAGTTGCTGATAGATAATCTTGGCCACCTGATTATGCTTTTGCAAATATTCACTATTAGCCAAACGACCACAACAAGAAATAATATTTCTAATGGATTCATCAAGACTATGACATGCCCGACGTATGTCAACCGTCCCATGCTTAATATATTTCCGGTAATTATTCGTAAGGATAACTTCATCCATAATGCACAGACAAATCCTTCAGTTTCTCCAAAGAGATTACTGAATCGTAGCCAAGACACTCTAGAAAATCCACACTGGGTCCATGAAGGACCCGGAAAAAGCGCCCGTGGAGCTCCTTGCTATGCTATGGCATAGAGGTATGCCTCCTTGGGATCATTGACGCTCAGTACCACAGGTTTACGCCAGTTCTCTTTTGCCAGGTATAGCGGAGTGTATCAATGCTGCTACTTCTCGATGCATATTATGCCAATATTATTATTATGTATGTCTTTACCATTGACGGGACCACAGGGTCCCGGTCATTTGGGAGGCATACGAGGGGCTGAAGCTGAGGCTGCTGAAGCTGAGCTGTGCAGACAACTTTAATCTAAATTCAAGGGACACACAAACCGACGACTATCCCTGTATGCACTATGAAAATGAATGGCAACAAGTCGCAATACCTTTAAATTTAAAGTCCGTGAGCAACTACTTAAGCATTGGCAGACTTAAAACAATTAAGGAAACTATTCTAACAACGTTTTCTTTTTTTATATAATATATATTTATGCAGTATAAGTATTTGTTTAGTAGTATATATTATATGTTATGTACCTCTATATGTCTATTTATAAAATATTGTATTAATATATTTATTCTATAGGTATTTATGTGTGTAGTATACATATTACATAACTTTTTTTTTTTGATTGTGTTCTGGCTTCGCAACCACTTCATTTCTCTGCACTTCCCTATGGTTGACTGTAAGAGAATGCCTTAAGGCATTAAGTCCGCCATTCACAGTATTTTGTGAAGAAGAAATAAATAAATAAATAAAATGCACCGAAGGACAGTCCCCAGACTCATGTAGAACTATTGTGGATAATGTAAAAAATTATATTGGATATGGATAGGTTGCTGTGGGCTAGTAAATTGGGAACTATGGACGACTATGGCACCTGCCGAAACAATGTAAGTATTACACGTAAAAATGGCAGGCGGAGACTCGCCAACTCACCGACCGAGTCCCGGGAATGGTTGCTAGATATAGCAGCAGAGGGACAACGGAAATGTGAGTGGCTAAAGGGTAAGTAAGAAACTACAACCGCTTTCTACTCAGATCATCTGCTCCAGCAGAAGCTTCCTGGATCCCTGGCCCACTCGCTACTTACGAATAGTTTATTACCCTCCGTGCAGGATCACTGCTCTCGCGACTCTACTCTGGACGGCCAATGAAGGCTAGCCAGAGGTGGGAGCTGTTCCTAGTCATTGTTCACTCCAGCCAATCAAGGCAAGCCGGAGAATAAGGAACGGTGACTTCTCCCTGGAGCACTCGGGATGATGGTAGCCCACGGGGTCGCTAATGCCCGTCACCTCGCCTCAAGGTTTGCAGGCTTATTATTATTGGATTTAAAATCTAACAGTAGACACTAGGACTCCATAACTTAGTAAGAGCTGCTTATGATGGAGAGAATAGGTAGATTATTTCGGTTTTAATGTAAAATTGAAATATAAACTTGTCATTTTTATATCTACATATAGGAAAGATTTCATTTTTTGGTTGTTTGTTTGACCGAAACTACCAGACCGATTTGAAAAATTATTTTACCGTTGGAATCCTACACTATCGATGATGAACATAGGCTATATTTAATAAGAAA